AAAAAAAAAAAAAAAAAAAAAAAAAAAAAAAGGGATGTCCGTTCGAGTTAACGAGTCAGTCAACTCAACTGTGTATGTGTGTTGACGCGCGTGTGCGCGCATGCATATGTGTGTGTATATCTATCTATCTACGACAATTACGCGCAGTTAATCGACAAGTAATAATTAATCCTACTATCGAGCGTCGGCGTGTTAACCGACCGAGAAAGAGAAATCGAGGAGGAGAACGTTTCACGAGCTCGAACGATTCTCAGCGAATTCTTGCGTTTCTTCCTGTTGCACGCGACGTTGTACGCGAGATGCTCGTCCGATCCTTTTACGTCGGATCGTTCTCGTCCTCGATGACGCGAGCCGAAACAAGTTCGATAGAAAAGGCGTATATCACTGGAGCGAGGATTTCAGGCACGAGAAGAGTTTCATCAGGGAATACCGAGGCGTTGCTCGTTTTACGATCTCGAGCAAAGTCGAAATCGACGAACGAAAGGAAGCAGAGGTGACGAGGTGTGTGTGCTGTCGAGAACAGATGTTCATTGTCTAGAACGGTCTATTCACGTGGCGAACACGTTGCTCGAGGTGCAGAGCCGTTCTTTCGACCAACGACAACGTTCAACGAGCGGTGAACGTTGAAACGGGAGCAAACATCTGACGGACGTTGGTTATAAACTAGACAAGAAGAACGTCCGATCGAACAGGCAAAACAACCGTGTACTCTTGGCGATCGTTAAACGCATCGTCGATCTTTTAGCAGGTCCAACCATGTGTTGTATATGTAACTCGTGTAACAACATCACCGACATTCACCGCCTACCCTCGCGTGGTATGAAATTAGTTTTACGATCGTAAGTCTTATTACCGATATGGTGGTCATCGAGCACGTTCCTGGGAACGAATTAATAGAATTCGTAAGAAAACACGCGTCAGGTTCGTGCTCCGACGATATATAATTCGTTAACAGTAGGAAACAAGAATGATTGTATCGCGTAATAATTCTGTTTCGGCACATGTGTATAAATTGTAAGCATGTACCTGTGTATACGTGTGTTAGAGTGTAAACGAGTGCAGATATACGAAAGGAGAATATGAATCGAATATTTATAACGCTAGGAAATCTCAATTTCAATGGGAGATAAAACCGGTGCATGAGAACATTCGAATACTATGCGTAGACGTACTTTAACTACTTGTAAAGATCATAGAGACGAAAAATTGTATCTAACGTTAACGAAACGCGGATGGAAATTTAATACGTATAACGTTAACAATTTCAGACTATTTTTATAAGATTATCTATATAATAATAACCGTGATAATATGACAGTAAGAATATAATTCGTTTGTTCGGTATGCATCGTTTATATATAAATGCGCGTGTATTTCTGTGTTTCTGTGTTATGTGTATTCCGGAAGGCAACGGTAGAACATACCGAAGTAAACGTATAACGATAACGTACAGAGGAGAGGGAAACGGGGGAGAGAAGAACGAGTATCGTAATTAGGAAATATCCTCGATTATCGATAAAAGCGCAAGAGGAAGCACGATGTTTCCTCGGAGAATGATCGTAGTTTATTTTCCTTCTTTTTCTTACGATCTCAGATTCGTTCGACGAATCCGTTATTCACGCCGGTCCTGTCGTTTTTCACGATACTAGCGCGATACGAGCGACCAGACGTCTCAGACTACCCCGATCTTTATTTCAAAGATACAAGATGAAAAGTTTCGGGTTGCATTTGCAACGGAGAATGATCGAAAAGAGAAAGTGATTGGACGCGAGGAAAAGGACGGAAGGGAGAGAGACATAGAGAGAAATAGGGAGAAATGACGGTGAAAGCCCTGAGTAGCAAAGAGTCGGAAGATGAACGTCGAAGGAAATGGAGAGATTAAAACTATCCAGTGACTTAAATATTCTATCGATTTAAACGTGTTGCACGAATTCTGGATTGAGAAACGAGAAACCCATAAACTCCGTTTGATCCAGGTTCATCATAAATAATTTGTCCGTGGGCGTTAAATCTGTCTTCTCCGAGGTGAACTGTTTATCGAAGTTGCTCACGTCCTTGCGATGTTTCTACGGGCAAACGTTTACGCGTTATTTATCTTTCATACCGTTCGCCTTCGCGTGTACGCGACATACTCACGATTTTTGGTTTGAACGGCGGTTGCACCTCCCGATTTTCTATCCTCTCCCAATCGATTCGTCGGAAGAACGCGTGGCTGCGGACGTCTTCCTCTCCGCGTAATCCGCAACCGAGTCTCTTCACCGGGTTCTTGGTGAGGAACTGAAAAACCAAGGTCGAGATCAGATAATTTAATCGCGGTTAAACCACAAAATCGTCGGCCGACGCTTACCGCTTTACAAATTTCTCTGGCTTCCTTCGATAAGCTTTTCGGGTAGCTAACGTTATGCTCCGTGATCGCGGCGAACAGTTCCTCTTCGTCTTCTCCGTCGAACGGCGGTTGACCAACCAACATTTCGTACAACAGTACGCCGTATGCCCACCAATCGACCGACTTTCCGTATGGTTGATACAATATAATCTGCAATAAACGAGCAAACGAATCGATACGAGTCGCGAATCCTCGTATACATGCGATGTACGTATAGTATGTATATATAGTATGCTGTATATGTTGCGACAGCTTCGGTGAGGAAGAAGCGTAACACTAACTTCCGGTGCGATGTAATCGGGTGTTCCGCAGAACGTCTTGGTAGTCTTGTCTCCGTTGATACCTTCTTTGCACATTCCAAAGTCCGCGATCTTGATATGGCCGTCTTGATCCAGTAGAACGTTGTCCAGCTTCAGATCTCGATACACGATACCTCGGCCATGAAGAAAGAAGAGACCGATCGCTATTTCCGACGAGTAGAATCTACGAACGACGAGAGTATGGTCGTTAACGCGAATGATAGCTAGGCACGTGAATAGCGCGCGATTCTCTTCGACGATCGAGACTTACACTGCGACGGGCTCTTTGAACTTGCCACACTGCTGTATCTGGTACATCAAGTCGCCACCGTTTACGTATTCCATCACGAAATACAGTCGATCCATGGTTTGGAAGCAAGAGTGTAGTTGCACCAAAAACGGCGGTTTACTTGACAACGCCAACACGCGTTTTTCCACCATAGTACATTCTACGTCGTCGTCCTGTATTATGATGTCTTTCTTCAGGATCTTGATGGCGTATAGTTCGTCGGTTCCTTTCCTTTCCGCCAACATCACCTTAAACACGACCCCCGTAATGTACATGACGCGATGCAAACGTACGCGCATTTTATTAATCATTATTTGTTTAAATATCTATGTATATGGAACGAACGACTGACTTTTCCGAAGCTGCCTTTGCCGAGCACCATCAGGAAGTGGAAATCGCTCGCCCTTATTAAGTCGCTCTTGCCCATGTTGTGTGGCACTTCCTTGTCCTGAGTCGTCGTCGTTTTCCTCGTTACCGAAGTTTTCTACGGGATAAGAAAAAATCAGGATGATCGTTTATTATCGGAACGTGTCGCTTCGTTGTTTTTCTCTTTTTTTTTTTTTTTTTCGCAAAAATGCCTCGTCGTCGCGGCATTGCCCAGCAAGAAACATACTCGCACTTTCATCTTCAACTCGGCCAGATCCACACCCTCTTCCGGCACAGGTACATTGTAGTATTCTCCTTCCTCTTGCGTGAGAAGTTTGAACCATCCGCTGGCAGGCGCTTTGATAAGCTCCGATATGCCGAACGACAGCGAACCCATGAAATCGTTCCTCGACGTCCGATCCCAATCCCAAACTTCGATCAAAAGTCGTCTGTCTTTGTCCTCCGGTTTCAGATCGCTAAAAATCGAATCGATCGTTCTTTAGCCTGCGTTTTTACTTCTATTCGCGTGCAATACCATACATCCTCTTCGCGTCGAGATCAAAAGCCATATCTCTCGAAATCGTTTCGAGAAGAAACGAATTTTACCGTCACTTACAAAATGATCGTCTCGTTCCACTCGGGATTCAACGAGGACTTGATCGTTTTCGTTTTCTTCTTCACGTTGTCCGAATCCGGGATCAACTTCAGCTTCACGTAGGGATCCGACAAACCGTTTGGATCCATCGGAATCAGATTTCGTCCTTGTTTCACTGTAATCGCAGTCAAAATTTACGATAATTTTCCTCGTGTTCGGTACATTCCTTGGTTCGGTATTCGCTCTCGCTTTCAACCGTCCTACGCGACTGTTCCGTTCTACGAGCAACGGAGAAAGGGTAGAATTTCATTTACGATAATCAACGACCGTTTAATATCACGGCCTTGAGACGAAAGAAGCTTAATTTGACCGGTAATAATCATCTAATAATAAAGATGTTGCGTTGGTCGCGTCGCGCCGCTCCGGGGCCCTATTTCACCTCTTGCAGAGCCAGTCGTTTGACGAAAGAATCGATAAATCGATTACAAGGGTATTTTTAATGGTAATTATCGCAGGATGCTGTAAAAAGACTAAATCCATTTTATACGCGAACCGTGCTACACAGCTGTGGCGTTCAAGTTGCAAATCTATGTACGTGCATCGAACAAAGACGATTGTCGCGCGTAATACGCACACCAGCGATAGTCGCTCTTTGGCATTCGATGCAACGGTCGGTCCATTGCGCAATCCGCGATGGTTGGTCGCGGTTTTTGAAAAATATATTTTCTATCTTTAAAGGGGTGTTCTGAAGTAGAATGTTCTAAAACAGCGTCTTCTCGTGATTTTTTTTTCTTTTTTAGAAGGGAAAGAAAGGAACGAAGTTGTTGAATTTTGAGATACGGTTTTACATACAGGATGGTTGGTAATTGGTGGTACGAGCGGAAAGGGGATGATTCTACGCGAAAAAAGAAGTCGAAAATATGGAATAAACATTTTTCGTTCGAGGCTTTGTTTTCGAGAAAATCGACTTTGAATTTTGGCTCGGTACGCGTGCACTTTATCGCGTCTCGTTATAACGGATCTCACTGTAGATCGTTGTCTCGATGGAAAAATTAAAAAAAAAAATTAAAAAAATATTTTCATTTTATATTTTCGACTTCTTTCCGCCTGTACCACCAGTTACCAACCATCCTGTATATTCAACGAATACAACAAAATTTTTTTAAAGTAGAAAAGAAAATTATAACAGATTTCTAAGCCTATTTCACGGGCTGTAGTCTTCAATCGGCGTGAAAGATCCTCCTCTTAATTCTTGACTGAAAGAAAAAATCAAAAAAGGATTAAATTGTTGTATATTTTTCTTCCGGGTGAACTGGAAGAGTTCGTCAAAAGGTTTATTTAAATAATTCTTATAGTATCTTAGTTTATTTTTTTTAAAAGCATTTTTTTTAAACCCTCCAAAATTTTTAACTTCACAATTTTTTCTGCCATTGTTTAGTTTACCCAGAAGAAAAATATACAGGGTGGTTGGTAACTGAAAGAAGAAATGGGGTGATTCTACGCGAAAAAAGAAGTCGAAAATATGGAATACAAATTTTTCGTTCGAGGCTTTGTTTTCGAGAAAATCGACTTTGAATTTTGGCTCGGTACGCGTGCACTTTATCGCGTCTCGTTATAACGGATCTCACTGTAGATCGCTGTTTCGATGGAAAAATTAAAAAAGAAAATTTTTATTCTATATTTTCGACTTCTTTTTTCGCCTAGAATCACCTTCTTTCCGTTTGTACCACCAGTTACCAACCACCTTGTATAATAATTTGATCCTCTTTTTGGTTTTTTCTTTCAGTCAAGAATTACGAGATGGATCTTTCATTTCGATCGAAAACCACGGCCCATGAAATAGGCTTAGAAATCTGTTATAATTTTCTTTTTTGCTTTAAAAAAATTTTTTTTCTATTCGTTAAATGTATATAAAAAAATAGCTCAAAATTCGATAATTTCGTTTCTTTCGTTCCCTTCTAAAAAAAAATCACAAAAAGACGCCGTTTTAAAACGTTCTAATTCAGGATGCCCTCTTAAACTAGAGACAACTTCCGTTCCGGCTGTAGAAAATATAATTATAAAATACGAAAGTTACACGGCACGTTACACGTTCGCAAATCCTTTCTCTTTTCTTCTCCGTTGTTCTCTCGTACAACGAAGAGGGGAATCGTCGTAGGGAAAATCGAGAGCCGCAAAGCGGTAGGTAAACGTACCTTCCACGGTGAGCTTGTTTCCGGAACATGAGATGTGCAACAACATACGACCACGTCTCTCGGTGTGATCGCATCCGCAAAGATTCGGCACGCTCTCCTCGCATCTCTTGTGTACGTTCATGTCGCATGCTACGTTATTAGATCATGATCGATTATAATCGTTGTCCGTTACTCGCTGGCACGTTTACGTTGCAGCCAGACCGGTAATCTCGTATATTTTCTGTTTTTTTTTTTTCTTTTCTTTTTCGTATTACTCATTTACTTCTTTTCTTTCGTACGGTTTCTCGGCATATTTTGTCTGAAAGTCTTGGTTCGAGCAGCAGGATGCAGAATAGGGGGCGCGGTTCATTACGCGTTTCATTAGCCATCGAAACTGCAGCTGTCGACCGTCTCTCCTTCTCTCTGTCTTTTTCGTTCGTTCATTTTTCTCAACTGTCTTATCGTTTACGCTACTCGAACGCTACACGCGATCGAAGCTGGCTCGGTCCGTTCTTCTCGTTTTTCCTCGATGGAAAAA